ACACACGTTGGGCCTCATTATCCCCACACACGCTACACGGCTCCGAGGAACTCATTTTAAGAAGCAAATCCCCAAACGTGTTAGACAAATGAAACACTCGGCACACAATAAATTTTCTCCACGACATCGGGCCATCATACGGCACCAGCAGCGGTTTACATTGCATGAGTTCTGCTGGAGGAATCCCACTCAGCCATGCTGTTGGCTCTTCCCTTCCATTGACAGCCGTCACACTCTGGACAAGCGATGATAGTGCGGTGCCTACATCCCTCCCTGGCTCCACCTGGAATGGAACTTCCAGCAGGTAACACAGCATTGTGAGCACGGCACGCTGCCGACCCGCCAATGTGATAAGAGCCTCCGAATTCAAAGGAAGCAAAGTCACGCGGTCATCTTCGCATCGCACCACTTCTGAGGGAGAGGTATCTAGGATTAGAACTTTAAGAAGTGTAAGGCAACCAAGTTCTCTCCATATGGCAACAAGAAGTTTATTATAGGCGTCCATGTTTCCTCCTTCTTCTTCCTTTTCAGATGCTGATTGAATAATTATACCATGATCACTTGAAAGGATAAGTAGCCTGGTATATAGCGCAAATGATGCTGCCGCCCTTTCTGGAAAATGTAAAAGATTTACCAGAAGTAGGCATAACTCATCACCCTTGCGATAAAACTCCTTTTTAAGCTTTGCGGCATGAGATGCAAGGAGACTCACATCGATTGACACAAGAACCGAAAGCAATGTCAACAATTCATTGTACCGCACCTCTCCACCCGCCTTCACCCATTCCAGCGTAACACACATTTGATTCCGAATGGTACGAATGGTCTCCGCCAAAACCCATACTTCTGGGTCATTCAGTTGCAGCTCACTCGGCTTCACCAGGGCATCTTCACCTGATAAACGCGCTGATGGGGCACCAACGGTTGCACGCGCTATTTCTTGATGCAGCTCAGACACATCTTCGGCCGCCTTCAATGTGTCGCTGCGCACGTCTTCAAACAGTGATGCTGACGATGATGATGATACCGATGACAATCGTTCTCCAGCACTAAATGCTAGTGTGGGTAACGGACAAAGCGTCGTACAGACCATGACACAGATGGGACAATTAAAATCCTTTGGGCCAAAAATTGAGGGTATACTGGCTCGAAAAACTCTTTCCAGAATCAGACCAATTCGCCCAATCATTTTTGCCACACATTTCCTATGTGCCGCATGTCCACAGAGATGAATTTGCCCATTCACTTTATACGCCATCGGTGCTTCTCGTTCGGATTCGTCAAAACGTAGACGATAGAGGGTGTCTGAGGTAAAGGTACTCGCAAACAGCATCAATGGCTCATTTGAGGGATCACGACACATGCAGCACTCAACTTCTGCAAGTCGTAGAAGCAATGTGGCCATGACCGATTTGGAGGAAACCGCAATCCCTCTTGCGTCCCGCACGGAATCCCCATCCATTTTGACATTATCGTCCAGGGATGCAACGATAGTGGCAGCACTTTTTGCATCATTCGCCTTGACACGTCTTAAAAGCATCGCCTGCCTTTCTTTAAGCCGAAGACGCCGTTGTTCATTTATTTCACTTCGCGTCTTCTGTTCGGCCTCTTCTTCGTTTGCATGTGGCAATGAAGATAATGCCTCCACACCATGTAAGATATACCCTGTCATTGCAGCAATACCGTACATGTCTTTCTCCGATTCACGGTATTGGGCGTAGATTTGATGAAGTGCCGATATGGTTGTTACACCCTTTGAGGTTTTACGTAAGAGGAAATCACGCTTTGTATTCGGTACCAAAGGAATCTCAAGTTTTTCCTTCAGCGTCGTGGCATCCATGATCCCCTCAACGAGAAGTAATTGCTTAAGATCTTCCCATGTGTAACCAGACGGCGGCATAAATTGTTGTTGAAACGTTTTCACCATATCCCAATCAACCCCACGCATAGGGCCTTGGGTGAAAGATGATGAAAAACTGCTGGCAGAGGAGCTGATAACGTGGCATGCCTGCATAGCGATGTATAGGACAGATATCGCGTGAAGTAACGATCGTTCTGACATGGATACATTCGATGACTTCTCTTTTTTCTCCATCACAAAGGAAAGGTACATGTGCACCGCAGCAATGGCTACAGAGAGCACCGCAGATGTTTGTAATAGGAGACATACTTTGTGATGCACCATGTTCTCGGAACCCATCGTATTATTTCCCTGTGGTGTGCCTGGCTGCTCCTCTAGCCATGGTAGCTTTGGCAGCGGAAACACCACTCTCGACGCCGAAGATGATGATGTTGTTGTTGCTTTTGTTGTGGCCCCCGTCGTTTCTCTCTCTCGCGCCATTTGTTCCCGTCGCACAAGCCGCTCATACAAATCCTGCAAGTCCTGCAAAGCCTGATCCCTAACAAGCGGATGATAGAGGTTCACATTGGATCGCCATGTCGCCGCATCCTTCAAAGCAAATACTTGTGTGCGATGACGCTGCTCAGTTACGGCGACCTCCCCTAGAATAGATGGAAGTAGAGTACTGGGATCCAGGCCGGGTATGAGATACTTGAATCGACCCGCAATTATCTCCATAATGTGAAAGGAAAAATCATTGGACACCACCATGCCATGCACCGCCTCTCGCTGCAATACCCGCCTCAAATCATGTTCGTCATGGATGACGGCAGCCCACTCCGTGAGGCAGAGAGTGAGGATAAGCCGTAGGAACAATGGATACCAGGAACCACGGGGTTCATTTGCCTTCGTCACGGCATGCCGCTGCAGCAACTGCGTGGCAAACGCCTCGGATGGTGTGATTAGCATAAGGACATACAGCAAGTAAATGTCATAATCCATCTCCGGTGTGGTGTTATTCAAATAATACAGCGAACGCAACGTCACATCGCATTCATCACGTCGCCAAAGTCCCCGCTCAATTTGTCCCAGCAAAACATATGGCATGAGACATTCATCCATCCAGTAATCGGTCTTTGCCTGCGTCGACGCAAAAACCTCTGATACAAGAGAGTAGAAAGACTCCACGCCACGGCTGTGATCACCGGAATTTGTACAGGCGTCATCTTCCACAGGTGAATCCTTCTTTATGAGATTCTGTTGTCGCAGCAATCGTGTCCACACCTTCACAAGCATGGCAAAGAAACGCATGTGTGGTATGACAAAGGAAGTCGGATTGGGTGACTTTTCGTCTAGTAGATCGTAACGCGGTAACATGTGTTCCGCATCCTGCCCGGAAAGAACATAATTGACTGGTTTAAAGGCATTTCGCTTTTCCGCAAGTGCCGCATTAATAAACTCCAAACATTCCATCAACATTTCTCGCATATATACCCGACATGGTCCTCCCTCCATATCCGTGTTGTTTTCAGAGAAAAACAGAGATGACGCATGCTGCAAGTTGAGTGTATCAAGCACCTGTCGGTGATAAGAATACCCAATCGATACATCGGGCACCTTATCCCACACAGGTGGCAAAGACTGCAACAATTTCTGCTGCGATGCCAGAATGGGCTCGCTACCTGACAACAACGCGGTCCCAACGATAAACACCATATGAGCTACAAGGTTAAATGAATGCCGTAGCTCCGCTTCCATCATCATTGCATAGTCCTTATCCACATTATCATTCTCCAAACTTGAGGTTCGTGTCTCTCGACAAATTTTACTACTTGTTCCAATCAGACACAGTGCCTTGCACCAGGCACGGAACAACTGTCGTGAAACAACCATCACCTTGACGTTCTCTGACGCAGATAAAACGTTTTCAAACCAGTGACACGCACAAAAGGCAACTTGTGTGAGTTCTGGGAGGAGTTCACGGTCCTTGTGAACATAACAACAAACGTACAAAAGTGTCGAGAGAAGTCGGTGGAGAATCGTTTCGCGACCAATAACACATTCCCATTGCGGATTTGGTGTCTTTTGTAGAAGATCGTCCACAACTTCCTTCACGGAGAGCACTTGAACGGAGAGATCCTTCACATGTCGATGCTGCATCACGGAGAGTCGTTCACCGTATTTTAGCAGTAATTCCGCAACCGGGACACGCAGTAGTGGATCACTGATGCATCCATCAAGCAAATACAGAAGGGAGTTCTCCCAGATGATAAACCCCTTCAAATCCACAAGCGTCATATTCTGAAGAAAAATTTCTTCCGCACAAGAGTAACGTACATAAACTTCCTTTTCTTCACCATCCACGTTAAATACTATTGGACGCTTTAATAATGTCTCCCCCATCAAAGAAAGGCACATCAAACGTCGTGAACCCTCCCCCGCGTTTGCCAGGTACAACGAAAGGGCCACCGTTCGCCGTAATGTTCTATCAAACCATCGCATCGTCAAATCCCTATCTTTTGATTCAATAGAGTCCTTTACATGTAGTGTGAAAAACTGCATAATTGTCACCTGATAAAGTGATAACCCCCGTGTTAACACCTCAAGCCATCTTTTTTGCACGGGAGGCAAACTCGCGGTGGGGTCATCATTCTTCTGGAAGCCCCTGTGCTTTGAACAAAAGGAGGCTGAATTCCATGCCATGGGATCACCACAGTCACAGATCCCGCCACCCCCGCCATACCGTACGGTGTGCTTGTGATTTCTACAAGGTGAGTTCTGAAAGCAATCCGCACAGAACACACACATTGAGTCCACTGCACATTCCAGACAATGGGCGATGGCCTCGTGCTTCGTCAGCGCCCGTCCACAGACGCGGGGTGCACCTTGATTCTCCAATCCCCGACGCGCCTCATCGTCTAGCGTCATCACCAACCACCACTCCAGCGCTGGCAGCTTACCTGCCAAGTAGCATTCATGTAAAGTGTCTTTGTTGAGCCTTGCCAGGCCGGCTTCCACGACAGCTTGCAGCTTCTCCGGATTTTCACGAAATACCGCGGCGCAGTCAGAGTGAGTGCGACGCACCAGAAGCTCCGACGACGACGTGTCAAGAAGATCATTTCGTCCCACCGGATGTTGTGAGAAGTCATTCGTGGCGTAAAATTCGTTTAGATCTGTCCGTACCAGCAACTCCCACTTTTCCCGGAGTGGCCTATTTACCTCCCTTACCTCCGTAATACCTGCCAATTGGTGCAATGCGGCATATGCCATAACCTGCCGCGTGTCCCAGCTCGCCGGTTCCATCGGCTGAAGAACTCTCCCGAACACCATGACCGACTATGGGAGGCGCACAACAAAACACTCCAGAAAAACAACAACAACAACAACAAAAAAAAACTGTAAAGAACCACGCAAATTAATAGCTGTGCGCCAGTAAATACGCACACACACGCCAATAATAATAATAATAATAATAATAATAAAGTAAAATAAAACACCACCCCACAATATCAATAATAACCCCTACTCACCCTTGTTCCAACAAGAGAAGCACACACATCCATATATATATATATATAATATATAGAGACATGTGTGTGTGTGCGTGTACATGAGTTTATGTACACCGACAGACACGGTGTCGCCAGCGCCATCCAGTAAAAGAAAAGAAGAAAAGAAGAGAAGAGAAGAGAAGAGAAGGAAAAAAAAAAAAAAAGCAGGAGAAAAGTATGTAACAACAAACATGCATACATTCAAATAAGCAAGAAAAATAAGAGTCATACCACTCATCATTGTAATCTGGGAAAAAAGATACACCCACGCATATCCACCACAAATGGATGCGTTGATAAAACAACAACAATAACATGAACAAACAAACAAACAAAAAAAAAACAAAACAAAAAAAAAAACCGTTTAATTGAATAAAAACATGTTTAAAAATAATAAAAACAAAAATTTTTTTTTTTTTAAAAAGAATTTGAATTTCACTTAAAAAAGAAAAAAAAAAAAAACAACAACAACTAACACATAGACACACACAAAACAAAACAAAACAAAAAACAAAACAAAACAAAACAAAACAAAAAACTAAAAGGCTCCCCCTTCTCAATAATAATAATAATAATAATAATAAAATAAAATCATTTCTATCAAAAAAGCATATTCCCCCAGAGAATCCAACACCAAATATATATATATATATATATATATATTTCTTCCTCTTTTTTTTTTTTTATTTATGAGGAGATATTGTCCACCGTTTCCAAATACACCAATAATAATAATAATAATAATAATAATAATAATAAAAACAATGGAAATAAACGAATATACCTCCATTTTACTCTATTAGCTTCTTGTATGTTTGCTATTATGTATTACTGTGTGGCTCTTGCCACTAAAATTCCGCGTCGAGAGAGAAAACCTTTGTAGTCCCCTCCGAACTCATTACACCCGCCTTTTGGTACTCACCGACCTTCTTCTCAAAGAAGTTTGTCTTTCCCTGCAGTGAAATCATTTCCATAAAGTCGAATGGGTTCTTTGAGTTGTAGTGACGCTCGTTGCCAAGTGCCACCAGCAGCCGATCCGCCACAAACTCGATGTACGTCGACATCAAATCTGCGTTCATCCCCAGCAGCCGCACAGGGATGGAGTCACAGATGAACTCACGCTCAATGTCCACCGCACTGCAAATAATCTCGCGAATACGCTCCGTTGGTAGCTTGTTCACAATGTAGTTTTCGTACAACAGGCACGCAAAGTCCGTGTGCAAGCCTTCATCACGCGAGATGAGTTCATTACTGAACGTCAGCCCGGGCATCAGACCACGCTTCTTTAGCCAGAACAGCGCACAGAAGGAGCCGGAAAAGAAAATACCTTCCACCGCCGCAAAGGCAACAAGGCGTTCTGCAAACGAACTGCTGCTGCGGATCCACCGAATCGCCCAGTTGGCCTTTTTCTGGATGCACGGAATTGTCGAAATGGCGTGCAACATGCGGTCCTTCTCCTCCGTATCTGTGATGTACGTATCCAACAGCACCGAGTATGTTTCCGAATGAACGTTCTCAATGGCAATCTGGAACCCGTAGAAGCAGCGCACCTCCGGTACCTGTACTTCCGTCATGAACCGCTGAGCCAGGTTCTCCAGCACAATTCCATCACTTGCGGCAAAGAACGCTAGCACGTGCTTGATAAAGAACTTCTCCCCTTCGTTCATCTTCTCCCAGTCCGCCAAGTCACTGCTCAAATCGATTTCCTCCACCGTCCAGATGCTGCTCTCGGCTTCCTTGTACTTCTTCCAGATATCATGATACTTGATCGGAAAGATCACGTAACGGTCAGGATTCTCGCGCAAAAGCGGTTCTTCCTGCTCTTGCGATTGAAATTCACGCGGGTGCTTTTCCCCAGACATTTTTGTAAATATATATATATATTTATATATGTATGTATGTAATTTTATGGCTTGTTTAGCGCAAAAACTTCAGTCTACACGTGTGAGTGTGAGTGTCAGGTAAAGCACATGAAGAAAGAAAGAAAGAAAAAAACAAAAAAAGAAAAAAGTCATGTTTTAAGCGCGACAGTTTTGCAGCTTGATATTTGTGTATCTTGCTATTTATGTGTGGGCATATAAGTGTGGCAGTAGAAGTAGGATAGCTCGTTTGTATCACAACGTATATATATATATATATATATTCTTCCCCCCGCAGAGTAAATGGTTGTGTGTATATGTACGTATTTATGTATGTATGTATGTGTTTGTTTGTTTGGTTGTTTGATGTGATGAGAACTCTTTATACAAATATGTTGGTGGTACAAATGTGTGTATTTATCCAGCCGATAATAAAACGTTATTTTTTTTTCTACTTTTACCTAAAAGTCTAGCTATACAATGCCATCTGAGTGCCAAAGAGATGGTCGAGCAGCGACAAAGGTTTCCTGCTATGAGGCAGCTGCCATTGGGAGAAGCTTTCGGTGCCAAGGTCCTGTTTAATGCCCAGCCGTTGGCGCACAGCCAAGGTGCCTGGACATTCTAGAAGCAGATGGTGCAAGGTTTCCTGCGGGCCAATTGGCGTGCTTGTGGAAGCTGGCTGATCCTGCGGCAGCAGAGATCGCCTCCTGGCACTGCTGTTTCGATGCCGTGTGGCGTCTGGGTTGTGTGCGCAGCGACTTCTGTGCTGTGCGGTGCTTCTCCGTGTGGGGAAAACCATATCACAGAAATCACATTTGAGCTCGGGAAGCGGTGGAGGATGTTCCGGATGAAATGACCGACAGTGACTGACGAGTTTCGAGAATCCCGTCAATATAGAATCACAGTGCGGACATTTCTCCTTCCGACGGCGTGTGAGGGTCCGTCTCCTTACTGGAGAGACGTCTTCCTCCCTCGCCGACGGGGGAACAGTGTCCGTCCCCGGTGCAGTCGGATCGTTGTTAGAGCGCATATATGCAGACTGTTCCGGTGAGATGTTGCAGAATCGGCATTGGTTCGTGCAATCTCTCACGGCCCAGTATAGTCGGCCCCAGAGCTCAGATTCCCCGCACCTTGCCCTTGCGAGGTGAACCAGTTCCTGACGGTGTAGAACTTCCTGAGTGATCAGGTCCTTACCGCTGAGATCTGATGGCCTTGTGCCGCAAAGCAAGTAGCGATGAGTGTCTTGACGAATGGTACTACGCCACTTGTTGGTGAGCTGGGTAGTAAAACATGTCAGCAGATCCGTATGCCATAAAGGTGCGATTCCTTGCTCCGTGTATTGTCCACTTTCCATAGTCTGCGTCACATACTTATCTGCAAGCTCGTTAGCATGTACTCCGCAATGTCCGTAACAAAACTGCAGGTGCACGGACCAGCCAGCACACGCCAGTGTTAGGAGACGCTGCCAGATCTGATCCTCCGTCCGGTCTGTCTGACTGAGCGGGCCCTTGTTGAGGGCCGCTAGAAGAGACTGACTGTCCGTAACCACAAGCAGGGTTTTAATAAAGGGAGTTATACTTTTTGTCATTTTCTTTGTTATTTTTCAGGCGGTAGTGGTGGCGGCGGGCGGGCAGTGACAGGGTGTTTTCATTTACTTCTTGTTCTGCTCTTGTTAGTTGATAAATTCCTTTTGATTAGTCGCTTTTTTTTTTTTTCCATTTCCGTATTTTATTTTTGGTTGGTATGTGGTAATGTTAAAAATGTCCTTGCATACCGGTTTATGGGTTAGTGCCGGTGCTTGATGTGTGTAAAGTGCGCAGTTCCCCAATGTAACGGCGCATGGCTTCGTCAGAATTCATTCCTTTAAGTTCGTTCCATGCCTCCCACTTGGCCCGGCCAACAAGGTCCATCATCCACGGTTTGGGCACATTAACGTCACCGATGGTTGCTTGCTTGTAGAGGCCATAGAACTTCAGTTTGGTGGTGTCACTGACGTGTTTCGCCGTGGTGGAAAAGAGAACCTGGGCAGCCTCAAAGTCATCCCGGATGCTGTTTTGGGCCATCTTTCCTCCCGTACCGTCTTCCTCCATCTCTTCCTCACAAACACCGCCGCCAACACCTGTAGTCTTTCCTTCTCCCGCCTCCTCTGGGTATAGAGATGTGTAGATGGCTTGTAACGACGTGGCGCCTCGCTGGAGTCGAAGCCGCATCTGCTCACATACACGTTGCAGGGCGGGACTCTCATCGTCCTCTGTCGCATTTTCGATTTCGGTTGGGGTCGCCCCTGCTGACACTTCTCCTTCGGCGCATGAACGTAACATGGCGCGTCGTTGCGGACATGTTAGTGGCCGGTCTCTCAAACTGAAAAAAAACTTTTGGCACATGCTAAGCCAGTCTTGCAGAAAATGTTGTGTCTTCTTGGTTTTGTCACTTCCAACAAACGCACCTGCTGTTCCCCACCTTTTCTCCGCGCTGAGCAACACCATTTCCACCAAGGCCCAGTAGAACATTTCTACCCGGGACTCAAATTTTTTGGCGGGTGAGAAGGGGGTTTCGGCCAACCACAATTCTTCAAAGCGCTCCGCGTGGGTTGCCGGTTGGGAAAGAAGGTACGCCCGCAGGGGTGAAAACTCACCAGGGACATCCACCAACAACACCTCCACCTTCTTGCTTAACAGTTGCACATAAATTGAGTTTGTAAGGAACGCCGCTACTGCGGCACCAGCAACGATGGCGGCAATAAATGTGACTGGCATTCCATCGGAACATGAGACAAAGTCATCTTGCTCAATGATGTCCAGAAATCGTTCAAGTGAACAGTTGCCTGAGAAGAGGCGAGACAAGACAAAAAGAATTCCACTCCATAAGTGGTTTGGAGAGATCATTTGCCCACTTTTTTTAAGATTCCACAGCGTCATTTGAAAGTCACTGAGAACGTTCGCCTCATGATCCTTCCGTGCGGATCCCGGTGGTTTACTTTCCAAATACGCCTTCTGTCGATAATTCGTCCACGTGACAAGAAAGGCAAGTTGTTGGTGCTCCTGCGGTTTACATGATAACATGAATGGGGGCAATGTTGCCTGTTGTGGATGAAAGCCACGGGGTAAACCCACAACATGGGATACCTCCCTGCTTGTGGCATTTTTCCCGCCTCCACGTGAACTGCTTCCAACGATTTCCATGCGTTTTCCATGAACAACCGGTAACAACAGACCACGGCAGATTTCCAGAATGTCACAAAGCGTGACAAGATCTCCATGACACACTTCATACAAAGTATCACATTCCACTATTAGGCTTGGGAGTCGAACACAAAATTCCGGCAAAGCGTCACAATGCGCTTGAACCATGCGTGTTGCAAACCCGAACGCCGGGCCCTCTTCCTCCGCATTCGTGTCCTTCCCATTCGAATGGTTTCGTTCATACAAGAGACACTTCAAGAGTGGTTTCAATGCAGTCGTCACACAGGCAACGCTGCATACCTGTGGGCAGTTTTCCGTATCACTGGCCTCCTGGTCAAAGAGGACAACAGTACCACCCAACTCTTTTCGTACCTGGCACTCCATGATTTTGCATGGCAGATGTCCAGCGTCTTTAGAAGAAGATCCCTCTTCTGCAAAGGAAGCCTTAGTTGTGTCATCTGAAGCCATCTTAGTCAAGATCATTCTGTTGTTTTCATTCAAAACATTTTCCAGCACAGTGAAGGCATGCTTTTGATGAAAATTCAACAATGCCCTGACCGCCTCCGCATGCTCCATGACAAGCGCCAGGTGAAGCAACGACCATTCATCCGGCAATGCTTCCATACCGTCATCTGTATTCGTGGGATCAGCGTCGGGGTCGTCCAGAAGACTCACGTAGACTAACAGGGGTCGATACACCCGCTCCACCGCGGCGTCCACACAATCCTCAGTTTGAAGCATGCGGCAAATGCCGTCCAAGTACGCAGCCGCATCGACCGGCTGACCGTCCGGGGTGCAGAGAAGAAAAGTGACGGGTTCCCTCATGTGCCATCTGTGAGTCCACATCAACATTGTTTCTTCTTTGTTGTCGTGTTTATTATTATTTTTTTTTTGGGGGACCAAATCCACCGGATACCGCGACAAACGCAGTAGAAACAGCAGCGTCGGCTGTGGTTCTCAGCCTGTCCGTTTTGGCGCCGAAATCTCCCCCGCCGTTCCCGCCCCCACCAACTCAGTTTCCCTATTCAAGAGGACTCAACTGTGTTTATTCGTCTCACTCACTCAGTTTGTGTGTGTATATATATACACGTTATATGACCAATACAACGATTATTAGTTGCTTTTCCAGCTTCTATCGGAATTCGCGTCCCTCCTTCTCGCTGTGTGTGTGTGTGTGTGTGTTTCGTCAAATTGCGCATGCACAACATAAAGAAGACGAAAAAAAAAAAGAGAAAAGATGCCAATTTGAGTGGTGGCTCTCAGTTGGAACTGTCTGCCCATCCTCCGATTCTTCTCCCACTGCAGGCACATATCATTGCCGACTACTCACTTTAAACTGCATGCATGTACGCCGACAGTAAAATGTAAATGAATATACATATAAATATATATACATACATGTGTACAGTAAGAGAAAGAAACAAATAATAATAATAATAATAATAATAATGAGGGAAGGGGACGGGCTGTTGGAAAAGAAGATATCGACCTCACTTTTTATTTTCACTCCTTTTTGCGTTCCTTGTTTCCTTCTTCCTCCTTTCCCGTTCTATTGATGAATACCAAGTTTTATTTACATCATCCATTCAAAAAGAAAGCAAAATAAAAGAACAACAACAAAGGAAAAAAAAATAAATAAAAAATGAGAGAGAGAGAGGGAGGGAGGGAGGGAGAGGGAACCGCGTATGACTCTTCTTTTTTTCTTTTTCTCCTCCTCTAATCAAAACCCTCTATGTTCTGTCCCTTTGTCTTTTATTATCTTCCTTCCGTTCGTGTTCTCGTCGCATGTGCTTCCGGACGCATAACTTCGGTGTGCTCCATCACAAACTTTGCCATGCGAGCAAACCACTCGTGAATCCCCGGGTGGAAAAGTGCGACACCCCCGCCGTCGCCCGCCAACATGGACTTCAGGAAACATACCACCTCCGCAGACACGGCGCAGCGGGGTAAAAGGGACTCGATGCAGCGCTCCATCAGTTCATCGTCTGTCACAGTAGCAGAAACAACAGACCGTACAAACAATTCAATAAAGCCCATAATAATTTTAGATTTTGCCTCATCCACTGCCGGTACGTCACCCACGCCATCTGCTGTGGCGGTGCGAAGGGCAGAATGCATGTCCCCTTCCAACTGGCCAGCTATTTCACCCTGTTTCGTGGAAGCTATACTGTTGTTGCCAGGGCTAGCACCCAACGTACCATTAAGCAGAAACTCCACGGTCGTTCCAGCACGTACTCCTTTTTTGGTGGTGGACGGTGCGGTTTTTGCCGTCAAGAGTACCAAGGCCTCACTCAGCTGCTGCGACAAGGCGGTTTCCACAGAAACTTCCGCTTCTCCTCCTCCTCCAATTCCACTTCCACCTGATCCAATCCCTGCTCCCAATGACGTCATGACTGGGAATGATAATAAATTTTGCATCAACTGCAGTGTTTTCACAGCTTCGGAAAACAATATTTGTACCTCCTCCAGTGGTAGCTCAAACATAACGCATCGTGTTCCATTCCACGTGTGGGCAATTAGTGGGGAGCCACTAAGAATTTTTGCCTCCATCATGCTCACGGTGGATTTCGTTGTTGAGCGATTTGATTTTTTACTTTGACTCTGCGAGTTCTTTTCGTTGATCGGAGAATGTTGTGTGGCGTTTGGATCGTGAACAGGTGAGACAAAGAGCACAAATGTCATCATTGCCGGCGCATGGGTAGCTCTTGTTGGTGGGGTGCATGCAAAGCCTCCTGCAGCACGCGCGTAACTTTCCCCACCTCTTGGGAGAGGTCCATTGGCGTTACTACTGAGATTTCTGTCCACATCACGCATAAAGGACTGGCAGATCACTGTGTTCACCTTTGGTATACCTAGATTCATGAGGGTTGTGGTTGAAAGCAAAGACGGTGGCCTGTCCATGACAATAGGTGGAAGGAGAGACATTGTTCCTCCTGTCGCATCCATTCCCGCAAAAGAAGAGTACCGCGCACGAATACCCTCTCCAAGACGCCCCTGTCCTTGTCCTTGCTGTTGTTGTTGTTGTTGTTGTTGTTGTTGCTGCTGCTGCTGTTGTTGTTGTTGTTTCATTTGTGCCTCTCGTGTGACGTCGTCATACCAAAGATAATACCCGCTGAGAGGGGCTGTCCGCAATTGAAGGTACGCGCGAATAAGTTGCAAAGCCGTTTCGAGGTCCAATAACTCCCGCGGTGGAAACACGTACTGCAACGATCTCTCCATATGCAGGGAAGCAAATGCAGCGACAAGGATAGGCAGTGTGACGGTGTTCTTTAGAGCAGCTTCCTCTCTATCCTCACGGGAACGAGAAGGGGGACGTCGCGGCTCCTGTGAAAAGACCGGCGTCACGGCCCTTCCAGAACCCACACCGCTGCCATTCATATCCTTTTCCGAGACGTTTCCTAAACTGCGCTGCGTGGATCGAATGACGGCAGTAATATTCTCCGGGACAACCAACTCTGTCCCAATATGAATGACCTCCTCGCCGTACAGGGAGAAGATACTCATACCACTAAATACATGGAACCTCATATCTTCCACAAATTTCGCCAAAATCACGCATGTGGCAGCCATGATGTGAAACGCTCGGTCTGCACGTGACAGTAGCGCAGCCAAGTTCAATAACGCCAGGCGCAAAATGTTGTAATCGTGCGTGCCACACGCCACCACTCCCCTTATAACATCTATCAAAAGTCGTACGGGCTGCTGCCGCGGTAAATCCAGCAAAAGCAACACATCCTCCTCATTGAGTTCCTCGGAGTATATGGCGTCTCTCACATGATCCACGGAATTTTGCTGCTCGTTTAGCAAATGCGGCTTAAGAAGACACAACACACGTGCAAGTATAAATTGACTTTCGATCAGTGGCGTGGGATGGGCGGAGGTGTCGTATCGCGGTGTAAGTGCCGAGATGGCATGCTGTAAGACCCTCTCTGCAAGTTCCAGCTTTCCTATACGCATGTATTCTTCCGCCAACAGGTTTACTGCACGGTGAAGGAAGACTGCCTCCACATTCCACGCCACAAAGAATCGCCGAGGTAAAGAATTCCCCGGAAAAAGTGAGAGTTGTTTTCTCTCTAGAAGAGACCCAGTTCCAAGAAGCAACCCATACGTCTCGCAATATTCCTGCAGTGCTTTCACGGCAAATTCAAACATTTCCACAGACGAGATCGAAAAAGAAGAAGGAGAAGAGGATGTCTCCCTTTTTTCGTTTTCTTCGTGATGTAACAAACGCTTCAAGGATCCCGCTGCCAAAGATGTCCAGGCGTGAAACATGTCAATACGGTTGTCGGAACTTAATGAATGAGATGCCTTCTGCAAAACACACAGCGTCTCAATGGCATCTGTTAGGGATCCCGTTCTGGCGTTAATGGCGGAGCTGTAGAGAGAAAAAACCCGGCCACTAAATGGATCACCACACTGCTCACACAAGGCAAGCGCATCACGTATCACTTGCTGCGCCGCCATGTATTCACGAATCCGCACATGGTTAACTACCATAAGTTCATACACATCACACCAAAAGATGTGTGTTGCAACAGTCCAGAGGTACGACGGGGCGCTGGTAGCTGTGGGAGCAGTGCTATTGCTTTCAACATGCGCATTGAAGTTCGTCACTAGCGCTCGTAAAGTCGCCAACGCCTTAGAAGGTTCCCCGCGCGCAGTATAAATCCTGGCAAGGAGAAGCATGGATGTAAGGCGCACGTACGTCTCTTCCAGTTCTTGACCTCGTTTTATTTGAACGTCTCCTTGCACAGGTGAGGTGATTCTATCTCGTACTGGACTCTTCCTGCGCGGAGTATCCCCCGTGGATGTATGCCCCTTTTCCTGTTGCCGGGCAATCAACAATTGTAGTATTTGTTCCGCGGCATTTAACGCCTCAATACATGCTGAGTCACCGAAACCATGCAAGGAGATCCGTTGAAGGCTCCGTGAACGAGCCGAACGTCGTTCGCCCATAAAAGACGTTTGTTGCGTCGCGAAGACACACCACACATACGCGGACTCCTTCGAGCCAAGAGTCACCAGAAAGTCTGCGATAGCAAGTTCCACACGCTGCGATAGAAATGGACCATAGCATGCAGCAACCGCTTCCTGTAGTAGGCTGCCTCCACCACTTCCAGAAGTAGCATTCGATAGCGGAGATGGCGTGGATGTCATGGGATTCGAGGTCACTGCATTAGCGACCCCAACACCGAGACACTGCGTCAAAAAGGTTTGGATGCAGGCCACATTGTCGCTCGTCAATGGAAGCTCAGCATCATTATACAGACCCTCCTGGGATTGATATTGTTGCTGTTGTTGTTGTTGTTGCTGCTGCTGCTCTGCCTGAGGCTCCACATGTCGACTAGGGGAGTTCGACCCTCCATCCCCACGCTTTGTGTTTTTTCCAACTTTGCTCGTTTCAACACCCTCAATCAATGCCCGTACACGGAGTGCCGTGCCATCCAATGCCCCACGTGGAATTCGAACCCCTTGACATACATCTCGCAGTATTTTCATGGAGGCCCTGTAACTTCCAAACTTGGATGCCGCCATCGCCTGCACAAGTCGTGCCTCAGCGGTGAAGGCAACATGCCGCATGTGTATCCGCGCAAAGTACTCGGTCAATGACGCAACCATTGCCGCATAAAAGTAAAACTTGAATCTCAACAGTTCCCACGCAAGGAAGAGCATGTGATGTGCCAACTGCGGAATCAAGGTAGGCATGGTATCCCCAAGCCGCGGGAGAACAACGAGGTCCTCTAGCATAAACCCCCCAAAATCGCGCAAATACTGCGGAAAATTACTCGTTGTGCCTTGTTCAAGAAACTGCTCAAGAATCCGAGCAGCCAGCAAGTAACAATTCACAGCTTTCCCTTGCTGCTCACGGTATATATACATGGCGAGCGATGTAATCGAAATGACGGCCAGTAATAAACGGGGAAGCCCAATCTTTGGAATTTGTAGCTGTGCCCACGTCTCAGGAGGACGCTTCAAACTATCTGGTATCTCCAACGCGGCGTCAACAGCCTCAATCCAACACCGTTCCGCTTCTAAACGCTGACGATGCAGCAGGTAAATCCACCCCAATTCGTAAAGCTGCTCCGAAAGTGGTCCAAAAAGACGTCGCCGCTGCAAGTATGTCGTAGCAGCCCCAAAACGGAAAATCACATCACGCGGCGGCGGCTGTCGTAAGTTCCCCCCGCGTCCTACCAGCTTCACACCGCTTGCCATTTCCAGACTCATCCGCGATGCGGACTCCGTTTCAACAAAAGACGTCTTCCCTATTGAGCCTTCCCTAACATTCCGCTTGGATGGCAACTGCGTTCGTGACAGACGCTGAGTGACACGCTGATACGCCTCTGTCGTTGTGTATTTCTCCCACGACAAACGGGCATTGCGTACAAGTTGTTTTTGTAACGGCTCATTTTGACGTAACATGCCGTATTCCTTAATAAGTTCATCTTCTTGCGAGATAACAATATTACGCCGCATACTTAATGCAAATGGCAACAAGTCATCCGCAAAGAATCCACCGGTCAACTTGTGCACTTCCAGGCAAAGCTCAAGGGAAGCAAACTGACACGAAAATTGCGTGGACCGTAGGAGGAACATGAGTTGATCAATAATTTTCTCTGCCGGAATCGCCGAGCCAAACCGCAGTGCAATTAGCGCCGTGGCATCGGCACCGTCGATTCGTATAGGCTCCGGCATCACACCCTGCCGTGGTTGAAGATTCTTTTTCATTTTTTTCTTCTTTGGCGACACCGCTAGCGCCTGCTTCCCCCCGTCTGTCTTTTCTTGCTCCATCATATTGGCGATCCTCTTCTCCACATCTGTAACGTGCGGCCGCAGTGAAGAAATTCCCACCGAGACCTGATCGGCAAGAAAAGCCCTCATTTCCGTCAGCCACTGCAGGTGTACAACTCTGCGTCCCTTCTGCTCCGCAGTTTGGACCTCACGTATGCGCCACTCAAGCCACCGTATCAGACGTGCGCGTTTCACGTTGGCGAGGTGCACCAGACGGGCCTCTTCATACTGTCCGGCTGCGGTTGCGTACGAGTGCAGCGACGGCACCCGTCCCTGAAAATGCAACTGCTCCTCGAGCTCCACATTTCGCCCAACCTTCACAGCGGCTGGATGTAGAAAATCCACATCGCGGCGGTAGTCAACAAAGCCGTTCCACAGCAAGAAGAATACCCGCAGCAACGCACGTGCAAGTGGAAGTATACGCGGCCCCCATTGTATCAACTTTTCATGGCTGATCAACATCTCCATCGCGTGACTGCCCTCTTTGCCTAAATCCGCGCAATCAAAGGATACTCTGGCAGTTTTAGGCGTCATTGGCAGATCTTCTTCACCGGAGGCTTCCTGTTGGTTTTGTTTGGGAGACAATAACTCTTCGTCTCTCAGCGTCGTATCCGGCGGCTCCTCACACACAAGCATGCGTAGGCCGTCAATGGCCTGCGAAACGGTTGCAAAGGCACGGGAAGGAAAACCACATCGATTAAAAAGCACCGCCGAGCGTACCGCGTGTTGAATAAAACGTTCTTCATCTTCCTTTTCTTCGGCCTTCAGCTCCTCAGCGCGCGTTAAAGCCGCTTCTTCACTCCGCCCCTTCGATTTCTGCCCGGGTCGCGCGTTCGTAACGGGAGTTGCCGTCTGATCACCTTCTTGAGCCGGTCGTTGCTGCCGCTGCTCCAACAACTTTTGGGCGATCACGGAAAGGTAAAAATGCAACTGCGCCTGATACGGTGCGTTAAATTGAAGAATGCGACCTCGCAGCCAGCGAAACGCCTGCCGACGACGCAAATACGCGAGACCCCGCGTAAGTTGCCGTAACATCTGCTGTTCCGAGAGGGTCCATTGCCGTTCATCGGTGTCGGCAAAATGATGGGCCTTTTTTTCCTCCGGTGTTGACGTTGTTGTTCCCGCTGCTCCTCCCTTTGCGGCGAGTCTACCCTTCTGCCGTTTTCCCTTTAACAATGTTTCCTCCTCTACTGCCTTCCTCTTGATTCGTGAGGGTGTCACCAACATGTAGCCCTCGTTCTCCAACCAGTCGTTCATGTGCTCCATCACAGATTGCTGATGCTCCTTTACACTCTGTTTCAGTTTCTGAATGACCTGTAGCGCATCCGTTGCCACACGACGCGCAGCCGCGATATCACCCAGACGGAGAAGATGCTCCACGACATAAACCGCAGTCCTTGCATAAAGCGGGTCATCGGCTGCCTGCTGCAGGCAGTCAAAGACGACAGACGGTGTCCTGTCGGTAAGTCCCTTCACCACGCTCAGTAGCCACAAGGGAACACCCACGAGATTCTCAGCCATCAACACCGATTGCACACGATCGGAGATTTCATCTACCTTTGGGCCAAACAAGTGCGTAAGAAACGCATTCACTCCTGGTACTGTAAAAAGAATCTCCCCCAGCAACTCCATAAATTCAATTGGGACACAATCGTCAAGAATCGTGTCGGGTACGGCGTAAGCACCCCCTGGAAACGCCGGGGCTGTCAAGTTGCCCGTTGTAGGTCTTGTAGCTGCCGCCACTCCACCGGAGACGCTGTTTGCCTTTTTTGTCGTTGCCCGAGAGACATTGTTTCTAGCCGGTGAAGGGGAGATTCTCTCGTCCACGCCGCCTTGATCAGGGCATAACACCTTCTGCACGGTCGTCGCACCTCGGCGTACACTTTCTTGATAGCGAATTTGCCTTGGATTGGGATGATTGTAGATATTTCCCCACACGTGCATAAAGAGACGGAGAAGCAACTCATACCATCCTTGAATGGAAACGGGCATAACAGCCAAACCACCCTTGGCGCTATCGAATGCGTCATGAACAGCAGACTCCACATCAGGACCCGCTGCGGCCATCTTCCGCACAGTTTTGAGAAGCGCATCAATTGTGCGGGCTGCCAATAGTTGTACATAGGCATCACTCCAAACAGATGTGGGTTGTCGCATCAACGCCTCACACAACGTCGCAAGCGGGAGCAACAAAAGCGGATAGTAGTTTTCATCCGTAAGGGATGGAAGAAGTGAGTTAAAAAGTTCAAAGGCACACTGTAGCATTAAACCACTATCCTGTACACGACCCGCAAGATCCATGGCAAATTGGAGCTGGTAAGCAATACGCATATGCCATAACTGTACTTTTTTAAGTCCATATCTCTGTTCAAATGGTACATCCAACATGACACTTTTTCCAATAAACGACATGAGACCAGTTCTTTCAAAGTTTTGGTACGGAATGCGACTTGCCTCCACGGTGGATACCCACAAGAGTGCTGAGACAATTGTCTGAAGTTTCAGCTTCGATGACACCGCCAATACCTCCTCATTGGTGCGCAGTAAAAACGTGGATGCAGAAATATATCTGGATTCAGATGCGGTCTTATTTTTTGAGGTTTCCATCCCTATGTCTGGTTCCTCGCGCGTTTTGTCGTCCTTGTCACTTTTCGCAAAAATTGAGTACAAAACATCCTTTGCACGCTCCGTCATCTGATTAAATCCCAACTTCCCACATGTAGACACGGCGTAGCACGAAATCATAAAGGCGGAATAGGCGCTCTCCCCTTGCTGCTTTGTATGCAAGCCAAGCGGCTGAGTTTGACCCCTATTGTCCGCATGACGATGCAAGAGATGAAATGCTTCTTCCAACATTTCACGTTGTGTTTTCATCTGCGGTTGGTGCGGCGCAAGGCAAATGAGAATGAGAGCATGAAGAAGATCATCACCCTCGTCTCTTGCCCAGGCTAATAACCGCCCCTTCTCATCCTCACTCACGTGCGAAATCTCTGGTTGCGACTGAAGGAAGGACTCAAGAACGTTCGCCTCCTTCACAGTCGGGGCTCCATACACCTTCGTGTTTGCCTGCCGTTCCATTACCAGCTTAACATTCGATTTGTGCTTCTCCAACGCAGCATAATGTTGACGAAGAATGGCCAGGGTCCAACGCATCTCTATCAACCAGCGGGTCAACTCCGTTCGCATGTCACTTATCTCGTGGTGCAAGCGAATTCTTTCTAGTTCCTCTTCGTTTTCATGCGACCCAACAAATGTCTCCTGCACGGGACTTCGTTTGGGTGACAAATTTAACAGACTGCTACCTCCCTTGACGCCTCGTCTCCCCGTGTGTGTTTGTTTCGAGTGCAGTGCAAGGGAGCCAAGTGCCATGCGGATAGAGGCAATTGCCATGCGTGCTCGATTGCAGTTCCTGCGTATCGCATTCATGGAACAATCCAACGCATAAAATCGTTGATCGGTAACACCATCCCCCCTTTTGCCGTTA